CTAACGGCTTGCGAGACTCGGGAGATCTGTTGCTCGGGCGCGTCGTCCTGACTCGCTGCGCCGCTCGCTGACGGATGGCGGCGGCGGCGGCGGGCGGACGGGGTGGGCGGGGCTCTCTCGGGGCGGTGGGCTCTCTCGGACGCCGTGGCCCTCGCTCGACTCCGGTGACGCGTCCGCCGGCTGCGAGGGCCAACGGCGTGGCACTCCGGCCTCTCTTGCGGCACTATTGATGTACTTCGCCGTTGATGCGCCGTGGCAGCTGCATGCCGAGTCAACTCTTTCGGGGCCGTCGGTTGATAAAGCTGCGCTCATGAATCTGTTTTTATCTTGTTTAAATCACGCGGGGTTATTGCGCGAACCGGGAGCGGGGTCGTGGAGGGCGCGCTGCAGGTTGGATGGGCTTTTTTGTGTGTGTGTGTGTGTGTATGTATGTATTTATGTATGTATGTACGTACGTACGTACGTATGTATGTATGTATGTATGTATGTATGTATGTGTGTGTGTGTATGTATGTGTATGTGTATGTGTATGTATATATATATATATATATATATATATATATATATATATATATATATATATATATATATATATATATATATATATGTATATATATACACACATACACACACACACACACACACACACACACACACACACACACACACACACACACACACACACACACACACACACACACACACACATATATGTATATATATGTATGTATATATATGTGTGTGTGTGTCTGCGTCTGTATTTCGTTTATTCGTGTGAAAATGCGTGTATATGCGGCCGCCCGCTCGCCTGTCCCAGTAGAGTGCAAGAGCGATTGCAGCGTTGCCTAAGACCCCGGGCACTGATAATGGCTCGGCGGCAGAGTAATGGATGCCCGCCGGGACCTTATGGGCTGCTGTTTCATATACGCCGGATAGCCCGACCTTTTATGCGGCCCTGCTGTTACGTAAGCGACGTCGGGGGTGAGGGGGAGGGGGGAGAGGGGTTAAAGCGGCGTAGATGTAGCACGAAAAAGTTTTGTTTTTGTTTTTGTTTTTATTCATTTTTATATCTCGAAATTGCGCGGCGTATCGAAATTGGCGTAATTGCAAACAGGAGGCTTTTGTAGGTGGAGAATTGTAGAATATTTGTAAGGATTGAATGAATCGTAATAGAAAAAAAATGATGATGAACGATAAAGAATGAGACAGAAACATTATATTAAAAAGCAGAAATAAACATCTTTCCTTCAAAAAGAGTAGAAGGGGAACCGACCTACGAGGGGGGGGGGGGGGGGCTTGGTGGTGGGCAGGGTGATGGGAAGGGAAATGCTGGGTAGGGGGGGATGGGGTAGTGGCAGTGGTAGGTAAGGTGGAGTGGTGGGTAGAGGGAGGGGGAATAGGGATAGGGGGGGAGGGGGGGGAAGGGAGAAAAGGAGGAAGGGAGGAAGGGAGGAGGAGAACCGCGGCCTGAGAAATGACCGATACACCAACGGAGAATAGAAGTAATATAGCCCTTGGATGCAAGATTTACGCTTGCTTTTGTTCCCTCCAGTTTAGTTATTGAGTGAGCGGCGGAGAGGGGGGGGAGGGAGAGGGGGAAGGGGGGGATAGGAGAAGGAGCTGGTGGAGGAGGAAGGGGGAAGGAGGAGGAGGAGGAGGTGGTGGAGTTGGAGGAGGAGGAGGAGGAGGAGGAAGTGGAGGAGGAGGAGGAGGAGGGGGAGGGGAAAGAGAGGGAGTAGAAGATGAAAAAAAGGAGAAGAAGAAAAAGAAAAAGAAAGAAAGAAGAGGAGTAGGAGGAGGTGATAGAGGGGAGTAAGAGACAGTCGGAAGGGGGGGGGGGGAGAGGGAGACTGGCCTATTGTGGAGGGGTAGATGATGTTTGGGAGAAAAGTAGATGGCTTGTTTTGTTTTGTTTTGGCTCCAGGGAGATTGATTTATTGTTGGGCCGAAATGCTTGTTCCGGCAGATGCACGGGCGGGGTCGGAGGGTATGGGCGTGGGAGGGGGCGGGAGAGGGGGAGAGGAGGGAGGAAGAAGGAGAGAGAGAGAGGAAGAACCAAGGAGAAGAGGGGAAAGGCGAGGGAAGGAAGAAGAAGAGAGAGAGAAAGAACGAAGCAGGAGAGGGGAAAGAAGAGGGGAGGAAGAGAGAGAGAAAAAAAAGAAAAAGAAAGAAAGAAGAGGAGTAGGAGGAGGTGATAGAGGGGAGTAAGAGACAGTCGGAAGGGGGGGGGGGAGAGGGAAGACTGGCCTATTGTGGAGGGGTAGATGATGTTTTGGGAGAAAAGTAGATGGCTTGTTTTGTTTTTGTTTTGGCTCCAGGGAGATTGATTTATTGTTGGCCGAATGCTTGTTCCGGCAGATGCACGGGCGGGGTCGGAGGGTATGGGCGTGGGAGGGGGAGGGGGTGACAGAGGAGAGGGGAGTGGGGGAAGAAGGGTGGGAGATGGGGGAATAGGGGAAGAAGATGGGGAGGGGAAGAGGAAGAGGGGAATGGGATGGGAAGAGGAAGAGGGGAATGGGATGGGAAGAGGAAGAGGAGAGGAGAGGGGAGTGGGGGGTGGGGGAGGGGAATGGAAGGGGAGGGGGTGACAGAGGAGAGGGGAGTGGGGGAAGAAGGGTGGGAGATGGGGGAATAGGGGAAGAAGATGGGGAGGGGAAGAGGAAGAGGGGAATGGGATGGGGAAGAGGATAGAGGAGAGGAGAGGGGGAGTGGAAAGGGAGGGGGAGAGAGGAAAGAAAGGTGGGATATGGACGAGCAAGAGAGAGAGGGAGAGGGAGAAGGAGAGTGGGAAGAGAGAGGAAAAAGGGGGAAGAAGGAAGGCTAGAGATAGGCAAATGGAAGGTTCGATTGGGAAAGAGGATGAGGGAAAAATAGTAATAGAAAAATAGAAGAAAAAAAAAGATATTCTCGAGACATCCAGCGACCCGGCAATAAGAGAGATGATGGAGCAGAGCAACACTTCCACGGGCATGCTAGAGGAACGTTATTTTCTCTCAGGCACTGATAAATATCGTGCTTGTCATACGCCGGCAATGGATGACCCCGTGCTCGCTCTCTCTCTCTCTCTCTCTCTCTCTCTCTCTCTCTCTCTCTCTCTCTCTCTCTCTCTCTCTCTCTCTCTCTCTCTCTCTCCTCTCTCTCTCTCTCTCTCTCTCTCTCTCTCCTCTCTCTCTCTCTCTCTCTCTCTCTCTCTCTCTCTCTCTCTCCATCCCTCTCTCCATCCCTCTTTCCATCCATCCCTCCCTCCCTCGCCCCCCCTCTCTCTCTCTTCTCTCTCTCTCTCCTCTCTCTCTATCTATCTATCTATCCTCCCTCCCTCCCCCCCCCCTCTCTCTTTCTCTCTCTCTCTCTCTCTCTCTCTCTCTCTCTCTCTCTCTCTCTCTCTCTCTCTCTCTCTCTCTCTCTCTCTCTCTCTCTCTCTCCCCCTCCCCCCGTGTGTGTGTTTATGTGTATGTATGTGCGTGCGTGGGTAATGGATTCCTAGTGTTATTATTTCTATCCATCTTTCTCTTACTTTCCACTCGCCGGTACTGAATCTTAAGCAAGTATCTCGGAGGGAGAGGAAAAAATCCTTCAGCGACGCGCGGGAGAAAAATAGTTAGGCTCAGGATAGCTTCTTCCCCCCCCTTCCCCCCCACACGCCTTTCCTCCTAGTACTCTGACCCATCCTCTTATTTATCCCGTTTCTGCCTTTTTTCCATCCCATATGCCCCCACCCTCCATCTCCCCCACCCCTCTACCCCCACTCTCCTCTCCCCCCACCTTCCCCTCCCCATCCCCTCCTACCACCCATTTTCCTCTCCCCCATCCCTTCTCCCTTAACCCACCCTATCCCCTATCCCCCATACCTCCCCTTCCCCAACCCCTCTCCCCTCACCTAGTCCTCCCCCACTCCCCCCCTCCCCCAAACAAAGAAAGTTGTCAGGAAACCCCGACAATGGAGGTGAAGGTTTCCCCTGCCACTTGACAGGGTAATACCTCGAGCAGCCGAACCCCCCCCCCCTAGGCTTCTTTCAATTACCCTCTGCCGACGTCTTAGGCCCGACTCCTCTCCCCTCGTTTCTTTCTCTCTTCTTGTGCTTCTTCTCGCCTCTTTCTCTCACCTCGCTTTTCTTCTTCCCTTCTTTCTCTCTTCGGTTTTTTCCCCTCGTCCTCTCTACCTTCACTCTTCACTCTTTCCCCTTCCCTTCGCTTGTCCTCTCTCTTCCCCTCACTCTTCCTCCAAACCTCTTTTTCTTCCCTCACTTTTCCCCCCTCCTCTCCCCTCACTCTTCCTCTCCCCTCGCCTCTTTCTTGGCCCTCCTTCTGTCCTTCTTCTACCCTCAGTTCCTCTTGCATTTTCTTCCAGTTCGTCTTGAGTTTCGTCCCCTCCTTTGTCTTCCTTTATTAACATTTCTTAACTACATTTTGCCAGTTAGAAATCTCTTTATCTTTTTTTTATTTCTCCTGGAAACAAATGGATTTTGATGCACATATATCTCCGTACGTTAATATAGATGTTAATTTGTATCTCCCTTCTCACATTTTCTCGTTTTCCCCTGACCCTCATCTTCCCCCCCATTCTCTCTCTCTCTCTCTCTCTCAAGACGTTCGTTTCTTTTCTCTTCCTCAAAAAAGTGTTTTCTCTCTTCATTTCACTCTTGAGAACATCCGCTCATATTTTCTGACTGAACCCTTCTCTTGCCTCACCACCTTTCACTTAAGAGGCAATTCCACGCGCCTAATTCATTCGCTCTCTCCTCCCCACTACGTTTCTCTTCCCTTTTTTTTCTCTCTCTGTCTCGTTTCGTCTTCGTTTTCTTTTATTTTTTATTTTTTTCTTATTTTTATTTTTTTTTCTTCCTCTTCCTTTTCTCGTTCTCTTCCCCTTCCTCTTGCTCTTCCCTTTCCTTTTCCTCTTCCTTGTCCTCCTCCTCCTCCTCTTACTTCCCTGCCTCCCTTCATCTCTTTCTCCTCCTCCTCCTCCACCTCTTCCTCCACCTCCACCGTCCACATTCCGTTCTTACGTTCCTTCTCAGTTCTCCACCCTACGTCTGTTATTCTCTTTCTTATTTACGGCATTTCACCGGTTTGCTTTCTCTTCTTCGCCCTTGTTCGTTCGTTCGTTCGTTCGGCTGTTTCGCTCTTTTTTCGAAGCTTCGGTTGGTTTCAGTTTTCTGTCGTGGTATTCTGTGCTTTCGATTTCTCTCTCCCTCTCTCACTCTTTCTCTTTCTCTCTTTCTCTATTTTCGTTTTCTGCTTTGCTTGCTTTCGAATGCTTTGCTTGCTTTCGAATGCTTTGTCTGTTTGTTCTCTCTCTCTCTCTCTCTCTCTCTCTCTCTCTCTC